CCAAAACCTCTGCTTGGAGAATAGGTTTGTGATAACCTGAGAGGAAACTGAAAGTCAAGTTGGCACGTTTGGAGAAATCTAGTCTTATATGTGGCAGCGAGAAAACAGTCCTAAGTTGAGACGCTACCGAGCGTTGTATGCACCTAAAACGAACCTACTCACTTACTGAGAAGAGCTTTCTCGCATGCGCACCGTTTGACTTGCCCATAAGTGATGTAGAAGTATATGTAGTCTGTTGATTATCGAAAGTGGAAAATTCAAATGTACAGAATCTCTTTACAATATGAGCATCTACCATACTCAGCTACAGAGAAATATCTAGGTCATGCATGTTGAAAGTCTAGGCAAAGGATCATCCTTCGAGATCTGATATAATAGGCCAGTAAATTAGTTGTATATCTGAGTAAAAACTATTCTGCTAATATGGTATCCACCCCTGTTCCTGTCAGTCCGTTGGCGCTTCCAAGGGCTATTAAATAACAGGGGATGGATACCAAGCTGCTATTCATCTGCATCTCTTCACGTTGATTTTACATCGATGAGTGTACGTATAAAGTATCCACGGACTCTCCAGTACCACCGAATCCAGCAGATGTGGCAAGCCGACGCATCTTAAAGAGAACAAGGGAAATCGTAGATTTCAAACCTCCGGGTTTTTTTTCTATTGGTTTAGGTTATTTGTTTGTGTGTAGTATGAAAGTTATGTGCGTAATATGTTTGTATGCCGGTTTGATGGCTACTGACGGTTGGTTCGGTATGGACTGTTGATTAACGCAGTGTTCGAAATACTTTTTTGAGCAAAGTAGCACAGTGTGCTACCTAGGGCAAAAACTAGGTAGCGCAGCAGAATTTTAGGTAGCGCCACGCCCCCCCCCCCATTTGTCAAATTCTATGCACGTGTCGCAATACTATATTTCTTCCAATCATAGAGGTATAATACCTCCATGCTCTAATAAAGTTACTATTTTTGAGGTTTCAACTCTGAAGTAGGAGCTCTGGGTCGAAGCCAAATTACGGGTGCGTGATTTATTCTGGTTTTCTACTGAGAAAAATCGGGACAGTATTTGCGCCGGGCAGCCGGCCATGTACGCGAAATGGTACGCCCAGTATAGCAGCGATCTATTCATGTTTTATGTTTACAATTGTGCAAATTTTTTTTACAGAAATTTGATCACATATGCTTAAAAATATTGTTATACTGATGTTAAAAATATTTTAAGACACTGAATCGCTGACTGTGATGTGCAGCAGTGTACGTGTACGCCGCGTAGCGTGCCAGACATTGGCCGTGCAAGTCTATAGAATCGCCCCACTTGCGACATAAATTTCTGAGGCTTATCGTGCGCATCGTGCGTATCCACAATTATTCCCATCGTAAACATAGTCACTGGGATCTGAAATGCATACATACAGGATAATTTCCCTTCTTCAGCGGGAGTTTTGTTTATGTTTTGATCGTACACGTCAAACTGCCACGCTGGTCTACGCTGCGCGCTGGTCTCGGCTGCACTTCCGGGTTCCATAAATCGACACCATAAATCGACAAAGAAACAAATATTTCCCCCCAAATTTATATTAATTGTGCACTTTTTCACTAGATGTGGCTATGCAGTCCTGGAAAACAGCGTTTAGTGCATATTTTCAAACAGAAAAATCGCGTCCCCGCGCCCTTCATGTTGCCGCCCGGCGATCTCAGCTGAAGCGAACAACCAATCAGAGACGCGTAACGCGGATACGTCATGCAAGATTTGCATACCGCCCGCCCACCGCTTCTGCTGGCTGCTGCCATGCTAGCTACGCGCCGTACTTGAAATAAATTGACGTGTATCGCCGTATTTCTGGGAATAAATGCCGCGACACGAAGATCTAGCGCTGACTCGGCTTGCACCCAGCGTTCAGCGTCACCCGCGCCATTACCCCCGCCGTCATCCCGCGCCGTCATTGCTGCGCCGTCACCCAACGTTTTTATCGGAACCAGACACCCCTCTGTTTGACCCCTTTTGAATGGTAAGACCCAAAACTGAAACCTCCCCATTCCTTAACAACATGGTAAATTCCATTTTCAGCATGGCGGGGGTGTCCGGAGCACTTAAAAACCTTTTATTTCGACGCCCATAAACACATATGCAATTAAACAAAAACGTTCTGCATCATCTGCAGCCCAACAGCAATACGTATACCGAACCACAGACAAATCCGTCCAGCCGATCGCGAGAAACAGCTGCTGACAGAAATGTTTCGAACAATAGTAAAACCTCCTCGCGGAAGGATATCTCCTTCCCCGGAGGTAACAATGCAGTTCCTTCTGTGTTCCAGCTATCATCAGGCAGCCATACAGTCATCTTAAGTCCGAGTTTAACTACTTCAGGTTCCCACATCTCCTCGACATTCATTCTGAAAATCCACTCAAGACGTTCCTGACGAACCCCTGGATGTACAGGAACAAGTCGGAGATATTTTTCCCCCACGTGAACGTGTCGTGGGACGGCACACGGAACCCGTTGACTTTCGACTTAGGATGGCCGGCTGAAAAGGCAGATAACGAGGTAAGGAAGCAGCAAGTAATTTTGTATGGATAATATTAGAGGGCGTATTGATTTTTGCCTGACTTCGAAAAACAAACGACAAAAACAAAATGCCAAAAATGATGATAGTTATGAATGTCTCCCAGTGTACAGCTAGTTACATTCACAAAGTTTACCATGTACAATTACATTAAATAGCAGGACAAAGCTAGGGGGGCTGCTCACCATATATTATATATACTGGAATGTGCAATGTAACAATGAGCAGACCATGTAAAGGTATCACTAAACATTATGCATTTGCAACCTTTCTAGTAACTTTTGCTTTTCTTTTAAAGACAAAGTAGATTGATACTATTTCATATTTTTGCTCTCGTCAACTTAGGAGGACGCTCGATCGTACATCAACCAGATAGAGACCGAGTTCACCTTGGTGATGATCTTAGAACACTTGGCCGAGTCGTTAGTTCTTTTGAGGCGTCTGCTCTGCTGGAATATAAAAGACGTCGTCCTTTACGCCAGGAAGGAGAACGAGCGTGCGTATTCCTTCAAGAAGTACGTGGCAACACCAGAGGAGATGCAGAACCACCGTCGCTGGGCCGCCGTAGACTACATGCTGTACGACACGTTCAACAAGTCGCTATGGAGAAAAATACACAGTCAGGTAAGGGGTATCTGTATCTGTATGGCCAGTATAACCTTCGGCGTAACACACCAGCTTCTGTTCCTGTATAGCCGGTATAGCCGCCCTTTGGGGTAACACACCGTCTTCGCAAGCACGCGGCGCGGCGGCAGCTAGCTATACACCGAACGACCGGTCGACCTATTACACCCGTACCCAATATTTGCACGTCTAATTGCAGGTGTATAAAGCTATCTAGTGATAATGCCCCTACTGTACTTGGTTTCACTCTAAGATAGTTCTTGGAAACAGTTTTTGAACACCTTAATTCTTGGTTGATAACTCTAAGTGATAGGCATCAATATCAATATAAATTGATAAAGGTATTTTGCTACTACACAACAACGTTACAATGCTACTACATAATAACATGGAATGTTGATTCTTGTCTTCAGGGTCCGGATTTCTACAGTGAGGTCGAATACTTCAAGCGTATCTGTGGTGTCATTAGCGATTACTGCAACAAAACTATGGAAGAAAGCAAAAGAATGGATAGAGCCAAAAAGAATTTGACTGAGGTAAAAATGGTAGTAAAGGCATCCCAGTGGAGTCCTGAGTTTGAGGTGGATCGCACATACTGTTCCTACATAACATCAGTAAAGGTAAGTACACGTACCAGACAGCCCCATATGCAATATGTAATCCATTTTAGGCCATGATGATTTGATTATATGGATGACATCCTCTGGGAACCCCAAAACTGGTGCGAGCTTGCGAATAATTTTTTTTATGGCAAAAAAGTTGCCTTCATTATGGCGTCTAGTACGTGGTCATGAAGGGTGGGAAAATGACTAAACAAACAGAGTATGGTATGGCGAATAATCATCATCTGGTATATGCAAATAAGGACCTTATTTTTAGAATCAATGCGAAACATTTGAAGAAGGTATGAGATCGTAGAACTCTAGTTATCTTTGCTTCTCGTTTACAGGTTCACAATATGGATGTGAGGATGAGAGGACGCCCATATACACACGAAGAAATGAGTCGTAAAATGTTGGATCAAAATGAAAACTTTCGACTAATGCGACAGGGACTACCGTCTTTCTTTACTAGACACGAGGCCCGTCTAGCTGGAATCGATATTTGGGAAAACCACTAGTCTAAAAAACGCAAAAAACAGAAGTACATGCGTTTAAATCATGGTATGTCCAGCCACTTAGGCCATGCTGATTTGATTATATGGAGGATATCCGGAACCCCAAAACTGATGCGAGCGTGCGAATTAAAATAGTTTGGCTAAGAAAATGTTGCGTTCATTATGGAATTTACGTGGTCATCATTTCTTCACATTTTCTTCTTTTCCGTGGCAAAGTCATCAGTCATGTAAGTTAAAACCTCATTGATTATAGCATTCTTCGACATTAGTATCGTTTCCCAATATTTATGGGTTCACTACACCACGAAGTGGTGAGGTGAAACCATATTGCTTTTTCTGGTGTTTCTTCTCCTTCTCCTTCTCCTCCTCCTTTTTCTCCTGCCATTTTTTAAATGGATTCAGCTTCTTCATTTTAGGGCCTAAGGTCCTGAAATTTGGTATGGAGGTACAGTGGGCAAATACCCCTAGGCGTTTTTAAATTTTTGTGATACAGGCTTTTAGAATGGTTTTATTTGAGTTTTTTGGCTGTGTTATAGCAAATGTATTACTGTGTTAGTGTGCCATGTTTACCACGTTTGGGTATGAGTCATCACAATGGAATGCAGGGCATCAACCAATAGGCATGCAGCTTTCCTCTATTCTTCTTGCTGATTGGCTGTTGGGATTTAACTTGATTAACACCCGCACAGAGCATTTCCACCTGCACAGAGCATTTCTTGCTGATTGGCTGTTGGGATTTAACTTGATTAACACCTGCACAGAGCATTTCCATACTGACAGTATGTCTGTATTCAAGTGTTTTGGTAGGTATTTCAAGTTTTCCTGCTCCAGCATTGGAATGCGGGGCATGAACGTTATTTTTATTTTGAAAATCAACAGTTTGCATTATGCAATTAAAAATCCTAACCAATAAAGTAGGGAATAGCTATCCAACTGTTGTTTTAGTCGTATGTTACTTCATATTATAGTTATATCAATGTAAATCATTGTTTTCCCTTGTGTTTCTCATTCTTTCCCTGCCATGTCGTAAAATGTGGTGAACCCATCGCTGTATTTGCTCCAAAGCAAATATTGGCCTTTCTAGTTTCTTAACAATTTACAGCACTTTGATAACTTGCTCATTTTGCAGCTGCTTGGTACCATTTACTGTAAGGTCGAATTTCTTTTGGAGACGGACAAAAATTCATGCGCGTGTGGATGTCATCCATGTAATCAAATCAACATGGTCTTATTAAGTACGGAAAGCTTATACTTAAAGCTAATATTATCATTATATCATATTATCATATTATCAGAAAGCTTAAGCTTAAAGCTAATATTATAATTGCTCATACATCATGCAAAATAGGGCATCATTTGCATGATCATGAAATAATAAAATGCTACAACAGCCGTCTTTGTGAAAATAAGGCTTTGGAATTTTGAACAACTTGCGATAGCCGCCGATTGGTATGATATATATACACATGAGGGCACTATTTGTAGAATTAATGGGGAAATTTTATAATACGTCATCCTTGAAGGATACCATCAGTTATCTTCGCCTCTGTTTTACAGGTTTATGCTATGGATGTGAGGATGAGAGGACGTCCGTATACAAAAGACGAAATGAGTCGTAAAATGATGGATCAAAATGCCAACATTCCACTCATGCGACGGGGACTACCGTCTTTCTTTACCAGATACGAGGCTCGTCTGGCTGGAATTGATGTGTGAAAAAAACATTTTAGTCTCTGTCTACAAACGCTAGTCTAAGTCATGAAAAAAACACTAGTCTAAGTCTAAAAACGCTAGTCTAAGTCATGAAAAAAACACTAGTCTAAGTCTAAAAACGCTAGTCTAAGTCTTGGAAAAACACTAGTCTAGGTCTTGGAAAAAACACTAGTCCAAGTCTTGGAAAAAACACTAGTCTACGTCTTGGAAAAAACACTAGTCTAAGGTCTAAAAACGCTAGTCTAAGTCTTCGACAAAACACTAGTCTATGTCTAAAAACGGTTGTAGGTTGAATCATACTAACATCTGTGAGGCAAATATGCGATGTCGCTGACGGTACATGAGTATATGGTTTAGTTAAATGTTCAAGCTTTGGCACAGGGGTTAGTCTCTATCCTTTTTTCAGGGCTACAGAATAGATATTTATAATGGCATGTAGGTCAAAAGGTCCTGAAAAATACTTTCACTTTGTTTAATGTGTTGTCTGTTAAGGACCTTGTTTTAGGCTACATAATTGTATACTGCTAGTTATTTTAAACAGTTAATTTCTTTTTACGCTTCTGTAAAGTTTTGAAGCATTACTTTTCTTGGACTACTAGTAAATATCTGCTATGGGGAGCGCTGCAACAGGCTTTAGTTTACCTACTGGCACATTACAAACTTGACTCATGTTAGCCAAGACGCATACAGATATGTAGATGGGTGTTTATAGGGAATATGTGTATCATATAGGTCCTTTTGTCCTGAAATGTAGCTTATTTTAGAACGATAATATGATATTATAGTATGATATTATGTGATATCCCTACGGCTACGATATAGAATTCTTCTCTGTGACGACGTTGCTCCGTTTCAGACGTGGCCACAATAGTTTAAAAATATAAAACCTTACATTTAACATATAAAACCTTACATTAATCATATAGTATCTATAACCCTCCTGATTACGAACTTATGGAAAATTTATTGTGTAATAAACTAATATGTTCATTCAATTATTGTAACATTTGTCATCACTTAGCTTTCTTGTTCTGTTGTTTCTTTACGCTCACTTTGATTTGCGGTATTTTGAGGTAGAGTCAGTGTGTAGTTTAGTGAAGTAAGTACCAATAATACAATCATGTAAACGTTTCCTTTTCAGGGTCATTAAAAAAAATTTGCTGCTTTTCATGACATGTCTGAATAATGTTCTCAGGCAAACATGTACAAATTGATATCAACCTTCATATCAATATTTTCTTTATTGAGTTCTCAGTCATCAAAAAGTTCTCATTGCAACAACGTGTTGGCCCAGAAAGCTATCATGTGCCCAAGTGCACAGCAATTATGATATCAACGATAGAGGAACAATAACGTTACTATTCTAACTGGCCATTAGACACTTTTGAAATTATCTTTTACAAATGCAATTTGTGGTCTTATAGGAGCAGCTATTGCAAATATTGCCCTCTAGATCTAGATTCCATTAATGAATTATGATCAATGATATTCGCCTTAACATTCTTCAATATATCTACTTTCCAATCTAACAAAGTTGCATTAGGGGTACATTTAATAACCTTCAAAAACTATTATCCAAAAGAATTCATTTTAATCAAAAAGACTGCAATTTTAAGGTTCATACCATACTGCACACTGCCACAAGTAATTTTGCTCTTGATAATCATGATTGCATATCAAAGAACAGTGGTGATTCAGTGTCTTAAATTCCATTTGTATCGCACAAGTTACTGCTTGATTCTGGACTAGAATTCTACTCTGCCTATCAAGACTTGCTACAACCCAGCCATAGTTGTAATACCATTCAAAAACAATCTAACCTACCTAGAAGTGTAAAGACGGCTACAGACTATCTAAATAGCTATGATGAAAAGGCTAAACATTCTGTCCAACACTTTAAGTAAATTGGGACTTACCCAAAAAGCTTATCTAAAAAGCTTATGGTTCAAGTTCTACCGCTCTTTCAGATCCAGAGTTGGACCCATAGCACCACACATAACAAACAAACTATTTATCATAAGCTTTATGGGAAATCAAAATATAGCCAGATTTATGCAATGCCATTTAGACAGTATGTTTTATACAGCACAGTGGCATTTCCCCCTCCCTCACAAAAATACTCATGGTCTTTCATGTCAGTGGTGGTTGTCCTATAAGGCACTATCTGGTTTTTATGTTCTAACAAGTAATTCATCATAAGATGCAACAGCTAGAACCTAAAACAACTAACAATGCATGTTGTAAAGACTGCATGTATAATCAAGACATCACCAAGTTACTCAAGTACATTACCAAGTACTCAAGCAGTAACACAAAATGGATTATAACAGTGTCAGATTTTTTAAAGTTCTTTTCAATACCTTTGGGCAACATCTCAAAATCCATATACCCTTTGTCTACCCTTCAGAGGCAAAAGCATCTTAGAGTAATGTTATAGAGAAGTTTCAGGACAACACCTATAGCTGCACTGTTAGGACATGAGAAGTCATTTCTATCTAGTCCTCAGAAAACATGGCTCGACATTGTGCATTGTTCTGCCCAGTGAAGAGTGGGAAAGATTTCTCTGGGATGTTTCTTGTCCGCTCCCGTTTTAACCGGAACTTGGCATCTTTTCCTGGCACTTTTTCATATAAAGATATATTTCTCCTGAAAAAGGACAAAAATGTTTAATACAATCGTTAAACCCCCTTTAAACAATTAAAAAAAAAAACAATACAAAACAATTGGTCAATTCTGATATGTTTAGTACTAAGATTGAAATAAATGTATTGTCCTTCATAAAGCTTTGAATTTATTTCTGTTAGCTAAGATTAACAATACACTGAAAGGAAAGGCTACGCAGTCCAACTATATAGTTAACTAGTTCAACCAATTCTAAATAGAAATCTTTACAAATGAATGATCAGTGCAACAAACACATCATAACTAGTGACAGCAGAAATTATCTGGATGAGTGACTACCCAAGGGGACCAAGGAAATCTGGTCTATGTGGACAGGTGGTACTAATGCTTAAAATTAATGGAAAAATTAGTAGCCAGTACTAGCTACCAAAAAGTTGTCACATTGACCAGGTGGCCCTTAGTATATGTAGAGGTGGTCACTTGTACAGGTTTGACTGTATGTTCTGTAAACTCACTTGTACTGGAAGGGTTTTTGCTCCATCTGTAGACACATGGTGAACGGCATGTCTGAAAAGTCGACTGACGTGGTGAAGTCAATGGTGGCCTCGGCCTCAGCGGACAGGTCCACTCCTACCTTCACCAGGGGGGAGTCCACCGTAGCTGACCCCTTCATAACCAGAGCACCACTAGTGGGAGGGCAGAGGAGATTGTAAATGTGAATGGGACAGTCTACAAAAGCACACAAGCACAGCACATTGGCAGAACGTACTGCACCTGCGCAGAACCCTGTATTTTCGCGTTTTTCGTTGGATTTTTGGTCAATGTTGCATCAGAATTTTGCCTGTTGCAGAGGATATCCTTTCCTACATAACATTTGGAAACTACTGTCGAAATGCTAACCTTATATGAGCGAATACAACCTTATATGAGACATTCTGCCGAAATGCTATGTACAATACATTACGGGTTTCGCGCAGGTGCAGTACGTTCTGCCGACGTGCTCCCAAGCACCAGGGTTGTACAGAAATGTAACATATATCAACACTGACACTAACTTAAGTCTACTGTAACTGTCAACATCAGACAGATTTCTTCATCCAGACTATTTTTTGTTTTGCTGCCCTGAAATTGCATTTGATGCCTTAAATGTTATTAAACAGTTACAGACTGTAAGCAGACTGACTTGTTGGAGACGAGCGTGACGGAGGCTCTGTTCCACAGACTGATGTCCACACTCCCCCCCAGCTCCACTGAGATGCCGCCCTGGAATGTAGACTCCACCACAACACCGGACTGCAGGTGGTGGATCTGGAAACAACATCAACAGGACAAGCTATAAATATAGTCTATACAACTTACAGATTCAAATAAAATCCACTTATCATAATGCGGAACTACAATTAGCCACTGCCTCCAAAAAAAGAATTCAAACCTTTCAGTAACCAGGTACTGTAACAAGTGAGAATATAGAGCTGTAACAAGTGAGAATATAGGCATCAGGGACTGCCCATCCCATCAATATTGGGTCCTGCACCTTTGGCCTAGTGGCTGTGTGTTTGATTATGACCTGACAGGCCACATACAGCATTGGTTCCATCAGCAAACAGAGTCAACCTTTGTATCTTTCCCCTATTTCTGGTGTTACAATACAATTATTATAGATCTATAGACTAGACATTGTGTTGCCTTGAGATTACCCTTTTGCAAATAGTTACAAAGAAATGAATTAGTATATCATTAGATAGTCCACAAATCTCACCTGGAAGTGGTCCTGCATGAGTACAATCCCAGTCACAGCAGACATGCGGACACCGGAGTAGGACCAGGCTGCAGCCATCAGCTCAGCCTGGCCGGCAAACAGTTTAAAGGGTCGGACCTGGACGTCCATCAGGATCAGCCCCATCCCTCCGCTGGCCGACGCTTCCTCATCTTCTGCCTCCTCTCCCATCATGGCCTCCAGACCTTCAGCTTCCAACGCAACCTGACAAAATTAACAACAGGAATCAAAGCAGGGCTCTAGCCAGCACCCATTTTTCTCTCAATTGCAGAAAAGTTTTAAAACCAATTGGTCAACCTTGACTGACAAAAATCTTGGGTAAAAAAATTTTATAACATTTAAAGAACCATTAACAACCACTCTCAACCCCATGATTTGCCTCTCAAAATGTCCATTTTTAAAAGCTTGAACATCCAAATTTTACCATGATGGCAGATGCTTCAGCT